ATGAGTGGCCAGCTGATTCCACAACTACGGGCCATTATCAGTTCTGTTGTCAAATGACGTCACAGCAGGTGACATCACGCTCCATAATGACGTCATAAATCTTGTTCCATGATCTAACAGTGTTGGGTCAACAGCCAGTTGCGAGTAAGTTGTTTGAACTTAAAATTTAATTTATGATACTGTTTTGTCTTTTTTAACACAAATTCCACCCATTTTAGCTGGATAGGGGAGTTAATTGACCAATGGCTTCTGCAAATGACAATGCCCTGCAAAACAGCGTTACCCAAAAAAAGTAGGGATACATTCAAAGGTTTTGGTGAATCGGTTTTCAAATTGCGACCGTATATGCTGATTATACGGTCGGAAATTTATAGCATTGACCAATCAGAACTCGTGTTACATACTAAGGTGAATTAGAATGCGTATTGACACATACAAATATCGCACACAATTGTATTGTTGCAGCGTCAGCAGTGGTGACGTCATTCAAATCATATTGTGACGTAAAGCCGGAATGACGTCACAAATGAGCAGTTCCATTTGTTACAATGGGAAACAGCTGAAACGGCCGGCTGATGACACTTCACTGCTGTACCCGTACTCGATGTCAATGAGTGCAGACAGTAAACCCCCACGTGGGCCTTTTGGTTTACTTTTGTGTTTACAATGTCGATAAACATCATGTGTTGACAAATGTTCGGGTGTTATTAAGTATTTGAAGCACGGGAATTCATTTGGAACATATGATGTTTATCTCCTAATTTGTATAATTCGTTATAACACTAGTTTAGGCTACTGTAGAGTGAGTGAGTTTATGTAATGCCACTTTTAGCAATATTCCAGCAATATCACGACGGGGGGACACCAGAAATGGGCTTCAGACATTGTACCCAAATGGGAATCGAACCCGGGTCTTCGGCGCCCACCCCCATTTTACTGTAGAAGACATATGACAGCCAGGTATGGACTGACTAACGGACAAACCGTCTAATATCTGGTTTGCTTTTAATGTGCCCTGGAATATTCCAGCCATATATCGGCGGCCTGTAGACAATCGAGTCTTGAGCAGTCAATCCAGTGATTGATATCATGAGCACTGACTGTTGGTTTCTTTGTGTCATGAACATCACTTCATAAACCACAATTCAGAATCTTCATATATTTATGTTTATTCTCGTCGACAGTCGAGTTCATAGTCCTTACACAAGTAGATTCTATTAGTAGATTGACTGCAATACAATCAGAATAAAGCCAAATGTGCTTGCCATAAAAGGCGACTATGCTTGTCGTAAGAGGCGACTAACGGGATCGGGTGGTCAGTTTCGCTGACTTGGTTGACACATGTCATCGGTTCCCAATTGCGCAGATCGATGCTCATGCTGTTGATCACTGGATTGTCTGGTCCAGACTCGATTATTTACAGACCGCCGCCATATAGCTGGGATATTGCTGAGTGCGGCGTAAAACTAAACTCACTCACTCACTCAATTTCACATTCACATGTGTTCTACAGTTCTAGCATGACAATTACACTTTAACAGTTAGAAAATGACGTGTCTTGCACCTGGAAAATATAGCTTATATCACTGGACATGCATGTTTAAGATGATAATTTAATAGTTTTGTAAATAATGAAATTCCGTTTATATGCTGGAGTGTCGAAATTCGGGTCCGAACCTTGTCGAATCCAAACGTGAGAAAAAACCAAAACAGAATTATCTCCCTTAGGGAGCTATAATGGAGAATGCATACCGCTAACGAAATTCGTTTGTAGAAGTAAACAAGATTATATTCAAAATCCTACACTAATTATTCATTAATTGGGAACTACCCGTGATGATCCGGGTCAGAATTTGTTTGTCGGGATCGGGTGCCTTGGTAGATGCATGTCATCGTAATAACATTGATCGATGCTCATGATGTCAATCACTGAATTGTTTTATCCATACTCGATTATGCACAAGTCATATAGCTGCAATATTGTCGAGTGCGGCGTTAAACAACAAACAAATCTTTGGAACGTTGTTACCATAAAACCGAATCATTCACTGGATTATCTCCAAACAGATAAGAGAAAAAACTCAAGCATTTGTTTCGTAATTTCCTGAATAAAACTTTCCATTCGTATTTCATTCAGTTTCATTCATTCAATCTTATAACCAAACGACAAAAAGGTAAATAGTCATGACGAAACATGTTTATGAATAATATCACTATATTAATAACTAAATTAAAATTATCATTCCTTACGTTCGCGGAAATATGTAAAACATTTCCAAAACACTACAAAACCACAGGTATGCACTTCTACTACAACCTGGGGGAAGAAAAGGAAACGCAGCAGGTTGCCCAGTCAGTTTCCGGCGTTTCCGTACAAAGCGAAAACTAGTTTCCTGACACATGGGCGCTCCGACACATGCGTTAGAGTACTCAAGTACTGAGGTACAAAAGACACTTAAACTTCAACCATATCGACGTCCTTAGTTACTGCTATATTTATATTACAATTTGGCAAAGAAAATAATGAAAGAAAAACGAAAAATAGAATTTGTATCATACAGGTAGTAAACAATGATTGATAACCTCTTGCGAATACATCATGATATTATTATTTTAATATCATATTTCCGGTATTAAATATATAATTGCTACTGATATGATCCACAGATTAGTAAACTACGTGCGATATATAAACTCGTGCGATATATAAACTCGTGCGATATATAAACTCGTGTGATATATAAACTCGTGCGATATATGAACTCGTGCGATATATAAACTCGTGTGATATATAAACTCGTGTGATATATAAACTCGTGCGATATATCAACTCGTGCGATATATCAACTCGTGCGATATATAAACTCGTGTGATCTACACACTGATACGTGGATGTAGGGTACTCGACTCATTTACTCGTTCAATCCGATAAAACTCACTTTGAGGGTTGGTGGGGTAGCATAGTGGTTAAAGCGTTTGCTCGTCGTGGGTTCGATTTCCTTCATGGTACAATGTGTGAAGCCCGTTTCTAGTGTCCCCCGCGGTGATCGATATTGCTGGAATATTGCAAATGCGGAAAATGGAAGCGGCAATGGCAAGCTAACAGTCACTCACTATACATAGATTCAGTGAAATATATATATATATATATATATATATTGCATGCTCATAAAACAATTAACATGATATCGTTTCAAAATCGTGAAGGTCGATGCTCATGATGTCAATCACAGGATCGTCCGGTCAAAATTCGAATATTTACTTATCAATCACACAGCTGAGATATATTGTACTGAAACCATGTGACTTAATGGGAAATGGGGAAAAACGCCCGCCATCGTGTCACGTGTATTTTCAGATCGTTAAGGAAGCAATAAGGAAGTCCGGATTATCTTCGAGTGTGGTCAAAGTAACAATAATAGCACGTCGTTAGCGGGGGCGGTCGTTCTGCGTTTACTTTAAGTCTTTCCTCCTGACATTTATTTTGGTCTTGTTTTGCTTTTGTTTGTTCTGTTTGTGGTGTTTTGCTATTGTTGTTGATTTTTCATTAACTTTGTTTTCACATTTACCTATTCCTATTTCCAAACATGACACATACCCTCATCTTAGGCCAGAAACCTAAACCTCACAGTCCCAGACCCTTCTTCTACACTCGCCAACATCCTACTACCTCAAACACACAGACACACTCGACATCCCTACTCACCTCAAACACACAGACACACACACAAACTGACATCCAACATCCCTACCCACCTCAAACACATCGACATCTGACATCCCTACCCACCTCAAACACACACACACAACACAAACAGACATCCCTACCCACCTCAAACACAGACACACACACCCGACATCCCTACCCACCTCCACCTCAAACACACACAAACTGACATCCCCCACCTCCACACACAACACACACACAAACTGACATCCCTACCCACCAACCACACACACACACACACAGACATCCCTACCCACTCAAACACACACACACACACCCCACAAAACCGACATCCCTACCCACCTCAACACACACAACTGACATCCCTACCCACCTCAAACACACAGACACACACACCCTACCCACCTACCTCAAACACACACAAAACTGACACACACTCCACTCAAAACTGACACCCCTACCCACCTCTCAAACACACACACACACACATCCATCCCTACCCACCTCAAACACACACACTCACACCCACACACACACAGACATCCCTACCCACCTCAAACACACAGACACACACACACCTGACCCACTCCACCTCAAACACACAGACATCCCTACCCACCTCAAAACTCAAACACATCCCTACCCACCTCAAACACACAGACATCCCTACCCACCTCAAACACACCGACATCCCGACATCCCAAACCCACCACACACAACACACCGACATCCCTACCCACCTCAAACACACAGACATCCCTACACACACCTCAAACACACAGACATCCCTTCCAATCTCAAACACAAACACACACAGACATCCCTACACACCTCTCAAACACACAGACATCCCTACACATACCACACAACACACACACAGACATCACACACCATCTCACTCTCTCTCTCTCTCTCTCACTCTCTCTACACACACACACACTCCCTGCCACAGCACACGTACCAATACACACACACTTCCTAACACAGACACATCCCCACTCTCTCCAGACATACACATACGCCCCTATCTACAGCACACACACATACATCCCCACCCACACCACCCACACGTCCTGATCTCTCTCACACACATATATACACACACACACACACACACACACCCTTACCTAAAGAAACAGCAAATGCACACTCACATCCAAACCAAAATCTAACGATCCTTGTTTGTAATCAATTGTGATATTTAACAGAGACTGAAATGTTTATTCATTCAATTTTACTTATTATATATGTTCTAGTCATTTCAGCGCTATACGCAATCAATACGTCTGTACTAGTTGTGCCGACAATAGTATCGCGAGTACCTGTTTCACTGGCGCCTGTCGAAACGCGAAGCTGGGAATTTGGGAAAAACGCTGAAAATATGTGGGATACAGTAATTCCCATGCGTCCTTTTCTGTGAACGGAACATATTTGTGTTTTATTCTCGGATTCAGGACAGGAACAACCTAAACTCTACCCGACATAGACAACACAAGACAATTTAATGTACGAGGAAGCTCAACGTCAGCGAGAATTCTCCTTTCCCACGCGTAAGCTGATACTATTATAAGTACGACTAATGATAGCTGAGGGGCGCGCACCAGCCTGGAAATGAATCCAAATATGTCAACCGCTGACCCCTGTGAATTTAAAGCCGTAATTTACGGTATTGACGAGCATGGACACGAAATATTAAAGGAGAATTCCGAGGTTCAGATACCTATGTTTTTCCACCATGTGTTAGAGTTTAAACACTTCGTCATGGATTTCGTTGGAGTAGAAAGCATTGCAGAGGAGATTGGATTTATTCAATATGATGTGTTGCTATATCGTGTGAGCGACAATAATGAGCGCTTCGCAGTGCGGACACAGCACCAGTATAGTATGCAGATGCTGAAACTGCGTGCAAACAGAAATGACATACTTGAAATAATGATCTGTAAGAAGATCATTGCATGTGTCAAAGGTCGACCGGGGTCAATTTTAATTGTTCCCACGGTATCAGGAGGTCAGACGATGAGACGAGACCCGGATGTTCAATATTCGGTGGTATTCCAGAAAGAAGACCAAATGGAAGAATGTAAGATAGACTGGGATCTTTACTTGTTTATTCTATTTGGTTGTTATTGTTTCTTTCTGTTTTTAAAACCAGAAACTATTATTATTTCGAAAACCTTAATGAATAATGTGTTTCGCTGTAAGGGACCATTCATAATTCATGGCTAGACGGGTGGTGATGATTTGAGGGTTCACCCATTATGGTCTGGGTAGGTAGGGGGTAATCAACTTTGTACATAATAATATGAAGTAATTATGCTTACAAATTATGGGAAGGAGAGGAAGGAGGTAAGTCATTTTGTACACGACATGCAGGAGGTGTGTGTGTGTGTGTGTAAGGAGGGGAGGGGGCTGTTACTTGCTTCGTGCATACATTTTATTTAATTTTTATTATTTTATTCATTTTTTGATTTTTTCATTTCTTTCTGGGTTTTTTTGTTTGTTTTGGGTTTTTTGTTGTTGCTTTTAGTTTTTTGTTTTGGGTTTTAGGGTTGTTGCTTTTTGTTTGGGTTTTTTTGTGGGGGGCATTCACATTGAACATGCTTCTCCATGACAATCATCATCAGTAGTCAACGATAACTTTATATTCAGTAAACAACGTTTGTAACTAACGCGCTTATATCGAACTGACGGATGTAACGAGTGGGTATTTTGGGTCCCGACTACTTCACTCGTATAACGAACTACTGTTATAACGAACTAAAATTTGTCCCTTTGACTTCGTTCTAACCATAGTTTTCAGGAGCAAACTTGTGATTCGTTCAACAACTTTCTCATTTTTAGCATATATGCGTTTTATCTTGGATCTTGAGGTAATGCTAAGTTAGCGTTATTAGGAGACTTATGTATAATGAGATTTTGTGATGGATATAGAGAGAATACTAAACGATGTCCTGTGTAGTACCATATATTTATGAGACCCGTGTAGGTCCGGGTTAGAATATTGATCTTCAGTCACCCATGCTTGTCGTAAGATGCGACTAACGGGATCGGGTGGTCAGGCTCGCTGACTTGGTTGACACATGTCATCGGTTCACAATTGCGCAGATCGATGCTCATGCTGTTGATCACTGAATTGTCTGGTCAGACTCGATTATTTGCAGACCGCCGCCATATAGCTGGAATATTGCTGAGTGCGGCGTAAAACTATACAAACTCACTCACTCCATATTTAAGAGCGGGATCGGGTGGGCAGGCTCGCTGACTTGGTTGACACATGTCATCGCATCCCAACTGGGTAGATCGACGCTCATGCTGTTGATCACTGGATTGTCTGGTCCAGGTTCGAGTATTTACAGACCGCCTCCATATAGTTGGAATGTTGCTGAGTGCGGCGTAAAACTAAACTCACTCACTCACCATATTTATGAAACGAGTGAATGGTTTGGTATCTAACGAGCGAGTGAGTGAGTGAGTTTAGTTTTACGCTGCATGCAGCAAAATTACAGCTATATTGTCAACATTAGTCTATTTAATTAAATGTTTTTAAATAAACAAGGGGGTATGAAAAAGGGACCAAATGACTTCAACCAACATATCAGACAATGTTTGTGCCGGAGATAACGCTTCTGTGACTGGTATGACGTTTTTCTGATGGATATGAGGCCGTTGTGACGTATGCACGATGTAATGATATGTGATATTTTCTTATGAATATAACTTTCTTGTGATGATGTTTTTTCTTAGGTATATGACGCCCACTGTGTTGACAATATCGATCATAGTTGTTTTAATACTGTTGATGGCATGTGCTTCAAATGACTTTTGGAAACGTGTAAAATTTCCCAGTTTTAAAATTAGCATTTGAGATCATGACAGGAGTGTTTTCTCGTAACATATGGTCACTGAGTCTTGTTTTAAGCCTATTTTTACAGTATTCCGGTATATCGCATTAACTATAATCAAGGAGAATGTAGGAATTAAATGTACAATCAGAGGATCCACCTACGCCCAAGGGACACAAATCTGCACTACGATTTGCTGTGCCTTAGTTAACTGAGCAACCGACGACCCTTCATACAAGAAATGGCAAATATCACGTTGTTGAGTGCCACCATGACGTTCACCATGACGTTCATGGTTGTGATGTAAGACACAAAGAAAGAAGGTTCCTCAAACAGGGTGACCGTATTCAAGATTCCGAGCATTATAGGAAATGTAGGACATATCTTAACTTGACCCGTATTTTTTTACAAGTGGTCGCTCGTCACGTAGACCGAGGTTCCATTCTCCAGATGGAGACATTGAATTCCAATTGTATTTTTTTATTAATTTTTGTTGGCAGCGTTAAAAAAGAGTGTGTGAGTGAGTCGTGTAGTCCGCCGCTTTTAGCAATATTCCCACGATATTACGACGAGGGACACGCAATAGCCTATACACACTGAACCAAGTCAAAACACAACAGTCTCGTTTCCTGCTGACTGGGTTCCGTCCTATTGCGCAACATAGTACAATAACCAGTCAAGAATTTTGAGACCAATTCATTCAACTGGATACATAATTATTAATTAGTAATATTTGATACATCTAAGCACTTGTATATTGCAACACTACGCTGCTTCTAATCCTTACAAACACGACGTACAGCATGCTCTGTCGTTCAGAGTGCTCTGACAGACGGAAATCTCAAAACGAGGCTCTGCCGCTAGAACAGTTTGGCGGTCTGGTACGGAATTGATATTAAATCAATCACGTTGTGCGTTACAAAACTACACTGAATAAGCGCAAAGAACACATAACAGGTGTAACCAGTGAGCCACATGAATTGTGAATCATTTTACGACCTCATCAAACAGGGGCAGTCTGTGACGTCTTAGTTAAGGTCATGCTGCCTACACCTCGCCATAAAATATAGAAATACGATGTTATTAAAGTTTAAAATTAAAATTAACTTGTAAATACAATTTTCTTATGAAACAAGGAATTGGAATTTAGTGTAACCATAGTTGTTTGTGGTGTCTCTTTTCACTTTCACACGAGAAAATTCGGATCGGCTAAAAAGTAGGTCATTGTCTGAATTGGTTAATGAGACTCACGTTTCGGTTTGCATTGTGACGAGAAAACCCTTTAACCGCTCGGCTACCTCGCCGCCTCACCCGGCGAGATGTCCCAGATGCTGGTCGTGAGCGGCGACTTAGCGGAATCTCTGAAAGCACCTTTGCCACGGTACAGCCGGACATATGCGGGCCGCGGCGCAAAACAACATGCACACAAACTAAACAGAATTTTGATATAGACAGGCCATGGAATGTTAGGGAAAACAACCTCTTTCATTTTCTACACGTGTTAGAGCTATTCCTTGCTCTTTCATCATTTAAAAAATAAATAAAAAAAAAACAACCTTGTATAATAACACACTCGTACATAACATCCATGTCTGTTTCAGCAGCAGTTCCATTGACGCATAACAACATCGGCATGCCAGAAAGGAGGCGCAAGAAGAACCCGCAAAGGCTGAAGATGACGATTTGTTCGACAAGATCCGACGAACCGACGTCGTCCAGAGGAACAACCGGCAACAGGCAACGTTTAACGAACTGGCAGCCATGTTGAAAGAGCTGAACAATTCCACCCCGGTCTCGGAGGGCAAGTTCTTGTGTGGTAACTGCGGCAAGGAACGACTGGTGTGTCCCAACCGTAACAATGTCGGAAGAGTCAAGTACTTCCGCCGGAAGCACTATGACACTTGCGTGGCTTCCGGTGGCAGAGGGAAACAGAGGGTCTCAAGCCAAAATCGGCCGTTCAGCGTCATACCCTTTGATTGCGACGAATCTATCGAAGGAAGTCGAGACGAGCCCGAGTCTGTCGATGAAACGATGGGATCAGATGTGTCAAGGGAGATAACTCCAACTAAAGACATGATTAATACCGTTCCAGGTTTAGTCCATTCCGATGTAGTGTATGTAAAGCAAGAGTGGAATTCTTAATATGCAACGTTTTGTTGGGAAATAAGTCGTGCAAGACAATTAAGATGCATTTTGATGAAATTAAAGTGCACTGTATGATACGGACAAAAGAAGGGTGATTTTTTTGTTCGAGGGCAGTGTCTAACATCCATATGTAGCTGACACAGCACGCGCACACCCAGGTCCTTAATTTTATTTAGTACGTTGCGCTGGGAATGAGTAAAAAATAAGTCTATGTGCGATTGAGCAACTTGCATCTATGATTTGGGGGAGTTTAAGATGGCCTCCGTGCAGTCTTTGAACCTCTACTACAAGTCAAGATCCCAGTTAGAATTGATCTTCAGTAACCCATGCTTTTCGTAAGGGGCAACTAAAGGGATAGGGTGGCCAGGCTTGCTGACTTGGTTGACTGGAATATTGCATGTCATCGTATCCCAGGCGTTGGGTTCGATGTCATCGTATCCCAGGCGTGGGGTTCGATGTTCATAATGTCAGTCACTGGATTGTCTGGTCCAGACTCAATTATTTACAGACCGCTGTCATATAGTTGCTAAATTTGTTGTTTGTTGAACAACAAACCGAACGAGGATCCTGTACTCTCTGTCTACATCTCCATCAGCGGTTGATTCAGGTGAAGTCCATGGGATCGAGACCGCCTCCGTGGTGTAGTGGTTAGAGCGTCCGCCCGGAGAGCGGAAGGTCGCGGGTTCGATCCCCGACCGCGTCATACCAAAAGACGTTAAAATATGGTACTTGTTGGTCCCTGCCTGGCGCTCGACATTAATGGGTTACAACAAGGACTGGTCGGCTAGGAGTCAGTATAATGTGTCTGAGTGGGGTAGTCATGCTTCACTGCGGCATGGTATCTCAGTGGGCTAGCACTATAAAACCAGCTTAAGTCTGGGCTAGTACAAGCAGCCGCACATACACATACACACGCATGCACGTCGTCATATGAGCGAAATATTCTCAAGCACGACGTTAAATCCAATTTCACCTCACCTCACCTCACCTCACCTCACCTCACCTCACCTCAACTCTCACCTCACCTCACCTCACTCACCTCAACCTCAACTCTCAACTCAACTCACCTCACCTCCATGGGATCGAACTTTAACTCCAAAACGAAAGAAGCATAGATTCGTAACAGAAACAAAACAAAACTCTTTACACTTTCGTAAATAATCTCTGTTAAAAGCAGAGTCGATTGTACGATTTTGACTATGTCATGAGTATGCGTTAGGAATCAACTTCCTATGGAAATAAGACTTGCTCCAAGATTTAAATCGTTCAAAACATTTCTGAAGATACGTCTGTTTAAAAGAGCATTCTTTAACTAGACTTTAACTGTGCGCTTCGAGCATGCATTGAGCGTGGAGTATTAGCGCTATATAAATGCACTATTATTATTATTATTATAATTTGACGCCGCATTCAGCTGTACTAAAGCTGTACAACACGGTCTGCAAATAATCGAGTCTGGACCAGACAATCCAGTGATTGACACTATGAGATTTATTCGTCTTTATCACACATAAACGTTCGACACAGACACACACATTCCTACGACGATACACCAGTTTGGAGTGAGTGAGTGAGTGAGTTTAGTTTTACGCCACTCCAGTTTGGAGGTACATGGATTGTCACTCTCATACAGAGGGTTGAAAGATATACAAAACGGTATAATCATATTTTACTCGTTTATATTCAGAACAAGACGATTAACAATGCAGGTCTGAAAGCTTATTTCACTCTTTCTGAGAATTTACAAGCCTGAGTAGATATATAAGCTGAATCAACAACTTTCGCTCGTCACGCCGAAAACCATGTTTTGATTCCCAAATACATTATGTGAAGCCTATTTCTGGTTTCCCCCCGTTGTGATATTGCTGGAATATTGCAACAAGCGGCATGAAATCTCACTCACTCACTCACAATATACATTATTACTGTAACGGTGTTTGTCGACGGGGTGTCGATTAGGGACACCCGGTGTTTCGAGCATGTTGTCAGGCCAACGTTATCATCTATCGACGTTCTGTTTGTACACAGACTATTAACGGGTGGTGGTGCAGCCTAGTGGTTAGTGCGTTCGCTCGTCACGCCGAAGACCCGGGTTCGATTCCCCACATGGGTACAATGTGTGAAGCCCATTTCTGGTGTCCCCCACCGTGATATTGCTGGAATATTGCTAAAAGCGGCGTAAAACTAAACTCACTCACTCACTCTCTCACTACATGTGATTCTGTGCTTCATTATGAAAAGGTCTTAGCAACTCGACAGAAAGTACATCAACAGTATTCCGCCGTCATGCCAAAGCCTAGGTTTGAAACCACATTAGTGTAATATCCGAAATCTGTTTTCGAATTCTCCACAGAGAAAAATATAATTCAGTCACTCACTACAGAATCTCAGATTTATGTGTTATGTTCGTTAACTTGGATGATGCCATTAGGACATTAAGCACAGTCTTGTACCTCGTCTTGAATTATTTTATTCTCGTCTCGAATATATTTTGGTTGACAATACCTGTTTTTAATAGAAACATATCTTCTACATTCATTGGTAGCTTGGTATGTTTCACCACGATCACTGGATATTTCCTATACAGACCTTGGAATCTGTCCCTTGGCCATGAGTTAAGTTCAGCTAAACCATGGGACGACCCCTTTCCTTCAAACAAGGGGCGGTGGGGTAGCCTAATGGTTAAAGCGCTGGCTCGTCACGCCGAAGACCCGGGTTCGAATCCCCACATGGGCACAATGTGTGAAGCCCATTTCTGGTGTACCCCGCCGTGATGTTGCTGGAATATTGCTAAAAGCGGCGTAAAACCAAACTCAGCCAGTCAGTCACTGGATATTTCCTATACAGACCTTTCGTACATAATGGGAATCCGTCAGGAAATCAGGAATCGTTTCGGCTTGCCTTGCTCAGACCAATCTTTGGGGGAGGCGTGATGGAACGAGCCTGTTTTATGACGCCAAGTTAAACTTCTTGTTCCTGTTAAAGAAATGAAACCTCTACTGTTACCGGGGTCAGATCAGAATCCCATTTCACGGTACTAGTCCTACAGTCATGCAATTAAACTTCTTATTTTCCCAACATATGGAATATTGGCACCCCTACTCTCGAACCAAAAATAATGCCAATCACTAGATTGTCTGGTCCAGACTCCCTTATTTACATATTTGTCGTTAAACAATGAACATTACAAGGCCAATGACCACACAGAAACATGGCATTTTAGTGGCGCTTCAGGCTATCTTATTTCGTGTTGTCACTGTGAAATGTACCAACAGTTTGTCCTGTTTTCATGAGTGAGTGAGTTTAAGCCGCTCTCAGCAATATTCCAGCAATATCCCGACGGGGGCGAGGTGAAGTGTGGGAGGTGAAAAGGCATTTAACATCAGGTTCAATATTATATAACAGCATACATGAATGATTTTGGTACATATGGTTAGCGCTATACGCATAGCATGGAGTTTGCGCTATATAGATGGACACATTATTATTACTATTGCCTTGGGATCGAACCTAGATTCCGTTCCCAAGTAAGTCGCTCAGTCCACTAGGCCACGATATTGCAATATGATATTCATAACTCTCAATAACTTTGCATCACAGGTATGGATGTGTTCTTTATGGTGGTGGTGTTGGAATTTGGTTTAACGTCGTGCTTGAGAATATTTCGCTCATATGACGACGTAAATGCGTGTGGATGTTTATGTGTGGCTGTTTGTACTAGCCCAGACTTAAGCTGGTTTTATAGTGCTAGCCCACTGAGATACCACGCCGCAGTGAAGCATGAATACCCCACTCAGACACATTATACTGACTCCGAGCCGACCAGTCCTTGTTGTACCCATTAATGCCGAGCGCCAGGCAGGGACCAACAAGTACCATATTTTAACGTCTTTTGGTATGACGCGGTCGGGGATCGAATGGGACTTGTAGATCCGAATACCGTTATCAAGCAAAATGGAAGTACAACCGCTCAGACTTTTATGCATCCAGTAGGAAATACCAGAAACAGCACAGGGATATGCATAGTCTGTCTCCCAGTCCCTGAACCACATTATTTCCCCAACTGCCAAGCCCTCTTCGCAATGTTAAAGCTCTAAATGAAGCAAGTCTAGATTTCCTCAGGTTCTGAATCTGTGGTCTCCCTGGGGCTCCTTTTCTATTTAAATGGGCTTGTTTGTTACAATCAAAATTATATATATTCAGAGACTAATTGTTAGTATGCATGAAACAGCGGATATTCCTGCTGATTACAGTAACAACTGATGGTTTATCATCCACACCGCTTTCTACCCAGCATCTGAACCTGCTGCCAAATCCGCAACAATCTGCATCTCTCTCCCTTACCTGGAAGAACTGAAACCAACAATCGGTTATAATTACTTGGGTTGTCACAGAGATGCCAACCGCGACGATTGCATCGTAGTCACTACGAATTTTAACCTCAAGCTACGCCAGTACGACTGCACTAGACATTCTACGAAATTTGAAGAAAAGTCATTAAAATTCGGATATATAGACAAAAACATATATTTTCGTCGATTAAATACATTCTCGCCCAAAAGATACGACAAGAAGAAATGTAATGATGATCATTTGGAAATCTTCTGTTTGAGGTATGTGAAATTAAAGCTACACTTTTGATTTCATATTATCTTTCTTAGATTCCGTCATGATTTGAAGTATTTAGTTGACTACTAATTTTATGGTCAAACTACCAATTTTAATCTTTTAAACTACTATTTGCAACACTTTGGGGTTGATATCTCTGGTTGTGAGTCAAGAAATGATGAGGTCATTCTATAACGATGTCATATTGACTACAGTCGGTTTACTCATGACTATCTGCTTCATGCAGATGGAGATTGACCTCCTAATTGTGTCTCTTGTGATGAAGTCTTCACCATCAAGCATGTATGAAATGCCAGAGATTCACATTAGCGATAAATCTGTGAGATCTGTTTTCTCGCGTGATCGGGCATCTCATTCTGAACTATTTGCGAGAGATTGGTCACTATCATAAATTGTAATGTGACAAAATGCCTGTTTTTACATTTGGTGTTTTGTCGTTTTCTATTTGT